CTGAAAAGATCCAATTCCCTCAGACTCACCTCATACAGCTTTCCCTACAATCTGGCCACCATCCTTGTGGCCATACTCTGCATCAATTCCAACCTGGCTATATCCTTCCTGTAATACGGAGCCCAGAACTGAACAAAATACTCCAGAGTGGCAATGTTGTATACAGTGGCAATAATACCTCTCTCAATCTAGAAGCCAGGCTTCTGGCTATGCAACCAAGGGCAGTGTCTGCCCTCTTGACTGCCACATCACACTGCTGGCTCTTGTTTAGCCTGCGTTCCACCAGTACCCTGAGATATTATGAGCCTTTCCATTGTCTTTCCCACAATTGACATAAAGCTAACCAGCCTGTAGTTCCCTCTACTGCCCTTTTTGAAAATTGGGACCAATGACACCACCCTCCAGTCATCTGGAACCTCACCCATTCTCCACAAGGCCTCAAAGATGGAGGTCAATGGACATAGGAGTATGCCTTTGCCTACTTGCCCCAGTGCCCATTTCCTTCGGGGGTTCCTCTTGCAACTAATCCCTCTTACCACCTCTTTTTGCATCCAAGGCAGTGCTCTCCTTCACCTCCCCCTTTGCTTACTAGCATATCATCAAGGCTTGTGCCTCCAAGACCTCCCTTTTGAGTGCATCCATCCCTCCTGAACTCCCTTGCCTTCCAGTACCCTCTCTCAGGAGACTTTCCCCAGTCTGGCCTTCAATTGTCCAAAGTTGGTCCTTGTGAAGTCCTAGCTTCTAATACTCAACCTGCCACTCATCCCCATTTCCCTGATCTCAAAGCAAAGGATGGAGTGATCACTTGCATCCCGAGCTCCCCTAATCTGCACCCCATCTATCAGCTCCTCCCTGTTGGTCAAGACCAAGTCAAGGATATTTTCCTCCCTTCTCACCTCCCAGACCCTCTGGGTGAAAAACCCTCCCTCTATAGACTCTAGGAAGCAAAGTGACCTGGCCATCACTGCTGAGTGAGTCTCCCAACTAATATCTAGGAGATTGAAATCTCCCAAAATTATCCTGTCCCTCCCCCAAGATGTCCTTTGAATCTGGTCTGTCAGGTTGGTATCCTCTGGTCTATAGCTCACTTGGAGTCAAGAAGAGCCTTAATTGTGGTGGCTCCATTTCTTTGGGGCTTCCTACCTCTGGAGGTCAAGCAGGTGCCCTCATTGCATTGGTTTTGGTGCCTTCCCAAACTGACTTGTCACAGCATTATTGATTTTGTTAAAGGACATAGTCTTTTTATTCCTTTATCCATGTTATCTTACTTTCACTGCTCCAGCATCTCCATTCTGAAATATGGACTGGTACATAGATCTTGTAAAAAAAAAAGAAATAGAAAGATAGATACTGTGTTAAAAACAAAAGAAAATACACAAACGTGTTGTTTTATTTTTTGTGGGAGCAGGGAAGACACAATCCTTGCTTCACCATTAAAGACTAGGCTCAATGTGCAGTGCAAGCATTCAGTTTTCGTCTTCTCAATCCATGGTGTATTTTTCTTTGCTGCCTGCAATAAACTGCCTTTGAAGACAACCACATGTGCTGTCAGTAAATCTTTGTGCTTTAATTGCATTCATCTAGGGACTTGTTATTGTAAGATTTAATAGACTTTGGGGTGTTTGCACTGAGATTTTAAATGTGTTGGTGCCAGCCTGCTTGTAGTGAGATTATGAAGAAAAATGGGACCTATGGGAATGATGCCAATGATGAAGGAAATTCATAGGTTGGCTCGAGAACATTTCCTTGAAGTGCCCTTCAGTGACCAGTAGGCTCTGCAAGGAGTGGAATGACTCACTCAGAGACGAATGACTGCTTGAGCAAAGAAATACTGCCACGGCAAATGGATTCGACAAAGGTGATGTTCATCATTTTGCTTCAGATAGATGTCCCAAGCCAAGCAGACCATATTTTTTGCTTGTATCCTGCCAAGAAAACATCTGTTGTTCTGTGTGATCTAATAGGTCCGGTAATGCTACTGCTCATTAGATACATCCATAATTGTTCACTGAGACATAATGAGCAGAATGGCCTGTTACAAGTTTATGATAGGGGTAACCCACCCCAAACCGGCATATTCCACTTTTGAGAATGACAAGAGTGTGTCTTATGACCAATCATTTGAGACCTCACCCTTCATCCTTCATGGGTCAGAAAGAGTGACAGATAGATGGCATGATAGGCCACAAATGTTTCTGTGCTGGTTGCACATGCATGCTCATCTTGTGAGGACTACAGCATCAAGAGCCAACTTGCATATGTGGCTGAGCCATCCCTGACTGGGCAGTTTAGGTCATCTAAGCAATGCAGAACCTGTTAGTGGAGCCAGTGAATCCAAGATCTGCGAAGTGGCAGTACCGTAGCCAATGAGGTTAATCTGAGGCACGATGATTGTTAACTGATTTTTCCCAAAGATCTACTTAAGTGAGGTTCACACCATGATTTCTTGATTAGTTTCCACAGGATCCCACAGGCAGACCTCCTCCTGCCCAGCTCCTCAGCAAAAGGTACGTGTAGGCAGACCACCTCTGGTGATGGAGTTGCATACAGCCAGCAAGGCTGGTAGCCACTGAGAGCCTCTTCCCTCATGAATCTATCCAACTCCTTTTTAAAGCCATCCTGATTGGGCCATCATCACTCCCCATGGCAATGAATTCCATTGTTTAACTACATGTTCTGTGAAGAAGAACTTCCTTTTATCTGTCCTAAACTTCCCACCAATCAGCTTCATGACATCAGCCTGGGTTCAACTGTTATGGGGGGCGGGGAGAGAGAGAGAGAGAGAGAGAGAGAGAGAGAGAGAGAGAGAGAGAGAGAGAGAGAGAGAGAGAGAGAGAGATCTCCCTTACTACTTTCTGCAGACCATGCATTATTTAAAAGCACCATAATAAATAGACTTTTATAAATTTATTAGAAATTCCAAAGTACAGATTAATTTAAGATTTCATTTCCTTTAGTTTACTTTCATCTTCTTCCCCTACCTGACCACCTCCCCACACACCATCCTATACACAAACATGAGTGAGCTGAGTATGCATTGATAAAACAAAAGCACTTGTGGTCTACTGTGTCTATGATTGCATCCATATTATTTTTATTTATAGGTTTATGGCTTCACAGTTTTTCACGTGTGTTCCTGAGAAATTGTCAAAGCACCATATAGAACAAATTGTGACTCAAGCAAGAAATGATCTCATCAAGATTACTTTTGCAGTGTTTTATCTATTTCCAGCCATGCAAAATAATAAAGAGATAATGCCCCCCCCCACACACACACACACACAAATGTATGTGAAGCCACGCAACTAATGAATTACCATACACACAACTGTGGGGATGCACGATGCTGGGAAATCCCTTCCATCTGAACACTTCTGTATATTTCTGAAATCATGACCAGAAATGAACACTGCTTGTTTGTGCACTTGTTTGTTTCTTTCCTTGGTTCTGGCAAGTTGCGTGAAATGGTTCCACACACGCCCAAGGATGTTAGGAATTTTGATCTACTTAATGACTTAACTCCTACTCCCACTGTCTTGCTCCTAGATAACCTTTCTACTGCAACTGGTTGAGTCAGTGCAGGTTGAAGTGCAGGAATTATAGTGCAGTCTCCCTGGCTTGCCACTTACCCTTCAGGAAGTAACACTTTTTCTTGGTCTTTCAAGGTCCAAATCCAGATGTGGAAGATGGAGTGCTTGGTACCAGCAAAGTTGTCTCATGTTGTCCTGGAGTTGTTTTCCTTCAAGAAGCAGCTGAATCCTAGCACTGAGGTGCTGGGGAACCATCCTGTGAATGTACTCCTACCTTTATTTTGTGAGTTCATGATCCATAGTTTTACAAGGTGTGAAGGCAGTGAGAAATAGAAGGTTTTTGTTTTTATTTTTTTAAATGTAGCAGTGTTGCATTAGCTAATAACCTGGGGTGTTTGTGGCTGTATTTCCCAGCCCCATTGTCACAGATGGTGTTGTCAGTCCTGAAGGATAATGCCATAACAACTAAGGGAAGGGTGTCCTGCTTCACAGAATTTGAAAAGGCATCAAAAAAAGATAAAAATGGGGCCATATCTGTTTTGGCACATCATCCCAATTAGATTAAATAAAGTGATTAAATAAAAAATCAAAAGGCTGAAACTCCTCTATTAAGATTTTGAAACTTTGAAGCAATATTCAGTGTCCTGAAACAACATTATATTCCAATATATTACCATCAGCCTCCACCATACATTTCTATGGGAGTTTTATTTTCTAAAATATGAGAGTATTTGTTGACAACTTTTATTCTGGATCACATTTTGTGAAAGTGCTTTTCCTTTTCCTCAAATCTAGACCACCATCTCCAGCTAAACATTTCATCATGAATATTATGAGTGCAATATCAGGGTAACACAATCAGCTACCTCAATCTGCTCCTCAGTAGGATTAAATTGTGTTGCTTCTTTTTCTAGGAGATGGAGTAAAGTACCATACACAGCAAAGGTACTACATAACACCTACTCATATATTATGCCAACATTGCAAGTTGATGAAAATAAACACTGCCAAAATAATGGTATCTTCATGCTTAGTCTATCTGCCCTATTCTGCTGAGAATATATTACTTTACTTGCCACTGAATTGCACCAGCAGTGAAATGTGGGGTGAATTTGGAAGGTGTTTATGCTACTCAGAAAACATCTGTGGAGTTCTAAGCCCAGATATATATCTCAGCGAACTATGCACCTTTTTAATCTCCACAAGATTCACAAAAACACTCTGTAGGGGTAAGGGATTCCATAGGTCTCAAAGTAGCGATCCAAATTTAAGTACAAAGAAGCACACTAGCTTTTTCTCATTCTCCTTTGATAAAAGCACTGAAAAAGTCCATTGTACATGTTATGATTCATAAGAGCATTAGAAGAACCATGCTGGTTCAGCCCAAAAGCTCATATACTCCAATGTTCCTTGCATGTGGCAGCCAACGGCTTGCCCATGGGAAACCTAGAGGCAGGAAATTAGTGAGGCACCACCACCAGCTTGTATTGAGAAGGATTCTGGAGACAGAAAACAGCCATCGGGACTAGTAGTAACTAATAGAACTGTCATCCATGTGTTTCCCAATCTCCGTTGAAAACCGTCCAGATCGATTGTAGCAAATTCCTTTGTTTGGGTATTCACTGTGTGAAGAATGACTTCCTTTCATTCAATAACCAGTTGAGGCAACAACCAATCAGATACTCAATTCCTTGCCTCAGAGGAAGTTCTATAGAACTGAATGCATGTAGAGGCATGGGATTGTGTTGTAAGAATGAAATTCTCAACATAGTTCTGTACAACCATATTTTACTAGGCCTCACTGAATATACTGGAGATTCTGTTGGAGTAAAGCTATCTGGGATTGCACTGTTTCTCAGTCTGTTCTGCATATGATCTCACATTATTTATTGTTGGAATCATATATTAATATTTGTTTAGCACTATTGCTGGCATTTGCAAATGCAGCAAGTAGACCAGCGTGTTGATGGACTAGAACTGTTTGGAAACAGTGGTTGTACTTCAGTTCTACTGGACCTTAATGGATCCTTGGTTACATATTCCAGGAAAGGCTTTCCGTCCTGAACAAAAATACATTGGCAAGGCTGACAAACTCTGATCAAAAGCGCAGTTATCAGTGATCCTTGGAACCAACTCTAAAAGGTCACCCACTTTGCAATTGCTCAAATGTGTTCTGGTCTGGCAGAACAGCTATCAGGAAGCTCCTGGCCTGAATCTTGCCTTCACCATGAAGACACTAGATGGTCTTCATAAAACCAGTGTCTCTGCTCCTTTCTCTGGAAGACAGGAATAAAACTAAACCATAGTGAACGGCTGTCAGGAGTTTTACAAAAGTCGTGCATCTTTGTCACAGAAATAACCCCATGGGTCAAATCTGTAATTCTATCATCACACCATAGTCTGCTTGCCTGCTCCTTCAAATAGTGTGTGACAAATGAAAGAAAATTATCAAAGGACTTCAAAGTGTCAGAACACTTCACAAGATACATCGGTGCCAAGGTATTTGGTTTCACTTTGCAAGTCAAAGAAGGTATTAAAGATGCATTTGTCAGAAGGCAAATCTTCCCATTTCTCTCTGTAACTATACTTCTTTCTTTCTTTCTTTCTTTCTTTCTTTCTTTCTTTCTTTCTTTCTTTCTTTTAAGGGAAGAAAAATATTATATAAACTTAGGTGCAATGTATAGGGTATCAATGTACTAGTGTTCAGCAGAGCACACACCTTAGACAAAATTCAGATGATACATTCGACTTTCTCTGGAGATGTTTGGGTATGTTTGTTTTTCCTTTTGTTTTCAATTAATACAGATTTCATAAGAAAAAATAATTAAAAATGATGAGAGGAATCTTTGATGTCTGGTTTCTCTCATGAGATGCTGGCCATTGGGCCTTTCTAAGCACAGTATTTATTTATTTAGAATATTTATATGCCATCCTGTAAATAAAATTTATGGAATGTTGTTTGGTCTGGAACTTTGCCCAGGCAGCAAGATCTTGCACATTCGGATGTTACCACCTATGCTGAACCCTAGTTCAGTCCCATGCCTCTTTCTTTGGGGATATATTCCCCAACATAATTTGTCCTTCATTTCTGATACCCCTATATGACTACTGTCTCCTGATCCCTGCTCCCTGCTTCCTCTCCAGCTGCTGTGTATGTCTTAGTCTAAAAACCTAGTATAGAATGTTCTTATATGGAGGAAGGTCTTCATTAGGGTATGAAATGGGAAATAAACACTTTTGAACAGCTATCTATGTATCAGTCAGAATTTCTATTTCTCCACTGTATCTCCCAGTGTAGCCTCTTCAGGGATCAGGAGAAGACTCTGATGTAGATTAGGATCTTCAAAGAAGTTAGCCCCATAGTCCCTCAGCCAGAAATCATGAAAGAAGATATGTGGGGTCCTGAGCCAGAGAAAGAGCTCCACAAGATGGGACTACCCCCACCCAATGGTGGAGAAACAAGCATAATGTCAGTGTTTTCTGTTACATTTGTTTGTGTGTTTGTTTATTTCATATGGCATAGCAGAATACAGCATTATTGCATTAAAATTCACTCAAACAATATATAAAATATGAAATGTAAAACATTGTGACAGTAAATTATTTTAAAAACATGCTATATGAAAGATTAATACAATTATGAATAAAATTAAGTTATGTATGAGCAGTTACTTGAGTGGCCAGGCCTATGGTCAAATGTACTAGGTAGCTTGCCATTGGACAGCAGTACATCAAGATGATGTAGTTCTTCCAGGGAGCCAGGAATCCTTCTGAAGGCGCATTTCATCATGATGTGGTGTAGAGTTTGCAGGACGTTACCACAGCCACAGTTCGAGTTGTGAATCAACCCCCATTTGTGTTTCCAGTATTGGCACCTGCCATGATTAGTTCAAATCTTTGAGTGCTGTCCAGTTTTTCCTTCAGAGTTCAAAGCCTTGGAGGCATTGTACTGGATCAGACACTAGGTTAAACAAATCTGTACTAGAAGCTGCCCATTCCTGGCACCATGCGGTCTGAATGTCGAAGTCTTCTTTGACTAACTGCTGTCTGGGTTCTGTGGTGGGTTCTGAGATTTGAGTATAGCTATTTGGTCGTAGCAGTCCTCTTGTAAGTATCAGTTTGCCTCTCATTTCTGCCACTCCCTTTTTAAGGCTGATTGTCTTCTAAGGTGTGAGGGTGATATGTTAGATAGTACCGGTAGCCATTCAGAAGGTGTCGACTTCATGGTTCCTGATATTAACCTCATAGTGTGATTAAGCTGGGTGTCCATTACTTTTGTATGAGCACTATTTAACCATACAGGGCTACATCCCTTCATATTATATGAAGGTTTGCCTGGCACCTACATTATATGCTTTTCGACACCAGGTTAAAACCTTTTTATTCACCCAATATTTTAAAGTTTCAAATTTTTAATTCAGATTTTATTTAACCTCAGTCGTGTTCTATCTTGCTCTTGTATTTATTGGATAGTTATCACTCTGCAAGCCATCCAGAGTTGTTTCATATTGGGCAGGATAGAAATATAATAATAATAATAATAATAATAATAATAATAATAATAATAATAATTGTAATGCTTTTTTTCTTGGAAGAATGTCTGTGTCATCTAAGGCATTTGAATGTATCAGTAAGATTACCAGAGCTCCATCACGTTTTTAAAAAGGCATTTATTTATTTATTTCCAGAAGATACTTTTCTGAAGACGTTTCTGTGTTCTTCTTGTTGTTGATAATGATCCCTGAGAGAAGTAAAACCGTTCTGGTAAAATTTCTCTATATAATCTCCATGATGGGGGTAACAGCCACCTGCCTAACGTCCCAGAGCAATGGAGCATTGTGAAGGATGTAAAAACAGAACAAAGCAAAACAAAACACCAGCCTGCTAGTGCTACTGCTTCTGCTCCCTCTGTAGGGGCAACCCTAAGAATAACCTGGAGGTGGGTGAATGGGAAAAAGAAGCTGTGCTATTCCCACAGTTGGTGACAAGTCTCCCCACTCCCACACCCCAGATGGTAGAGAATGTCTTCCACCCTTGGGAAAATATGTTGAAATGACACTTTGCCCCATTTTGTCTGCCCAAAAATAGGTTGGATAATTTTGAGTGCAGATTTGTGGCGGTTCTGCCATCACCGTGCGACTGTTTCCCACAGAGAGCTTGTCAGTGCCCTTGTTTCCATCAAGGAAATCACATTGTTCATACACGCACTCAAACCAAGGCATTGTATTAGCATCCCAATAAGAACCAATGGCGATATCAATTAAGTACCTGTGATTATGTTTTCTCTCACTTTTAATAACATGCTCTATTTTCAGAATAGCACCATGCCTGTAAATAGATTATTCTGTGATTTCGGTGAAAGGAAATGAGCAGGTGGGCTCATTAGAAACAAGCCTGATCAAAAGGAAGTGCTCAGTGTATTTGGATGAAGGAGTTGAATGTGATGGACAAGCTTATTAAAGAAAAGAGTAATTTGCACTGCACATTGAAAGCAAAACAAATACACATTTATTCAGACTTCAGCATTTATTTTCAGATGGCAGCCTTCAGTAGATCTGCTTCTCATAAGCTCATAAGAAGAGTTCCATGGCATAAGACCTAGCATCTCCCTAGTCCCGGATTCTTTTTACACAATGGCCAATTTGTTGCCCAGGGGAGCATCTGGCACAGGTTTCTCAGCAACTGGGTTGACACAATGATTCTTGTACAATGAGAAAGTGAGAAATACGTCTCCTGTTCTGTCTTTGCTGCATCATGCATGCTTTTTTACACGTCTGTCATCACTTCCTTTAGTTGTTTCCACCCTCCTACCTTAAATAATCTCAGACATTGTAACTCTTCCTCATAGCCCCTTGATCATTTTCATTTTCTTTTGCTACACTTTTTCCAAATCTACAATGGTCTATCTTCATCATCTTCATCACCATCCCGGTCTTCCTCCTTCAAGGAACCAAAGGTGACTTACAAAGTCCCCCATCTTTTTACTTTATCCCCACAACAACAACCCTGTAGGAAGGTAAGGCTGAAAGTCAGTGACTGGTCCAACGCCGCCCAGTGAGCTTCAAGGCTGAGCAGAGATTAGAACCCAGATCTCTTGAGTCCCAGAGCTGTGCTCTTAGCCACTACACCATATTGGCTTCTAGAAATGATCACTCAAACTACATGTCTAAGTGTAGTTGCACCATAGAGATGGATAAGGGGAATATGTTCTTGGCCAGTTTATTTTCAGTTCCTTTCCCAATTATGCATAGAAGCTATGTGTTCCCAGCAGCAATACACTAGGTCAACTGTTCAATCAAGTTGTCTCCCATTTTCCCCAAGACTTTGCACCCAGACACACTGCTAAGCAACGTCTCATGGCAAAGTAATAGGATAGTGGGAAGGAGCAAGCCTCAGTACTCAGTCCTCCTGGAATGCCCACTCCTGGCTTTTTAGATAATTGGAAAGAATAGAAGGAACTGTGTTTAGCCTTTTGAAGGATGAGAAGCTGGGAGGGAGGTCTATATATATAGTGGTGAAGACTGGTTGGTATGGGGCTATGGTGGGAATTCTCAGAGAAGACACTCTGGACTTAGAAGGTTGTGTGAGTCTCTGAAGTAGGTATCTGAGATGAATTCTGAACTTTGCCCTCTGTGCGCCCTCTGATCTAAGATAATACATGTTTTGTTACTTAAAACTACCATCAAAAGAATGGGTGAATGGAGGTAGGTACAGTAGCACACAAACTCACAAGGTGGATTTGCTATAAATCTAATCATGCCAGGAAAAGTAAAATAAAAATTAGTTATTTGCTGTGAGTGTGTTTTGTTTCCCTTTGTACATTTCATTCATGGAACCATGATTATGAGAAACATTACCTGTAACACAGCATAGCACTTATTCTTCTGTCAAAATCTTCAGATTATTTGTATTTAAATGCCAGTCTATACAATGTTTGATGTTCAAAGTTTACCATATATGTTTGTTATTAGGAACAATTCTTTTGAATAATCTCCTCTGGACTCTCTAAGTGCACATATGTTTTCTGTCTCTTGATTCACCATGACATCTTTATACATAGAGATATACTCTTTCCTAGAAAAGTCTAAAACTGGAACTCTCTTGCTAGGCATGTCTTGCTAGACATCCTACCTGAAAATCCAGCATTTTCCCATTCTGTTTTCACAAGGAACCTGTGGCCATCCTAACATTGTCGAACTATCCCCATCCAGCAACAGGGATGATTTTGCAGACCAGATGAAGCTGGAGAAGGGCACTCCAGCTTGCCAGGTGATCACTTAGACCTCCACTTGGGTGGCAAGAATGGGTCTAAGTGTGTCAGGGCTACAGAGGTTGATTTGTTACCATATCCAGGTCAGAAATCTGATTGATCATTGATTGATCAGCTAGATCAGAGTCTAGGTAACATGTGATGGTGCCAGTAAGAAACCATAGTCTGACTTAGAAGATGTCAGTGAAGTTTTTCACCAGCATTTTAAGATTTGGTGGTAGAAGAAAAGGAGCTCTTTAAAAGTTTTAATTTTAAAATATTTTATTATGTTGGCTGCAAATGGAAATATTAACATTTAAAGAGGATTTTGGGTTCAGGGTCAGGAGTACAGCACCTGGTAGAGTCTAGGAGGCAATGCACCTGCCCAGCTCTGGTCTTGAGAACCGGTATCCTATATCTGCCTCGTCTTACATGATGGCCTACCATCACCTTCTCAACAGCTTTATTATGATTATTATTATGATTATTATTATTAGAACATTTCTATGCCGCCCCTTGCCGAAGCCTCAGGGCAGCTTACAACACAATACAATACAATACAAAAATAACAATATGAAATTAAAATTAATAATATAAAATAAATAAAAAATATAAATGATATAAAAGAAGTTATAAAAGAAAAGTTATAAAAGGAAAGAAAAGAAGTCGCCCTGGCCAGATAAATAAGTAAATATTGTTAACAATTAAAATGACGCTTAAATAAAAAGGTTTATTTAGACACAAGGGTCACAGAGTCCAGGCCAGGTTTGTTATAGAGCAGCCTAATAACTACTTCCTCAGAAAAGTTAGCTCGACCCTTCACACAAGGACATATTTACCATACTCTAGTACAATTAATGCACTGACAGAATATGTATAACAGTACAAAAATGATTCATTCATAAATTAAAATAAACATAAAACCCAATTGGAAGTTATCAGGAACTTAAGCTGGTAGCTAACAAAGAAGCTTAGGAAACTAATTATGACACCACATTTTAATTAACTCAGACATGGAAAGATGTCTGAAAATTGAACATATAGACCATCAGGTTTATCCACAATTAACATGACACTTCTTCCTATATTTTAATTTTTATGCATATAGTTTAATTTATGGTTTGATGGTCATGCTTTCATAATACCAATTTTATGCTGTGGGTAACTTCTTCAAAGTTACCCTAACCTCATGGTGAAGCAGCACAAATCTCAACACACCACTCAAATCCATTTTTCCATGGTTGTTCTATAAACTTTTAATATCTTCTCCTTAACTATACAAAGCACATTTGCTTCAGTTTTTGATTACATTTAATTTTGGTTTGAAAACCAAACCATCCTCCCTTTTTTAACCACAGCATCAAAACAGTTGATTCTATTTTCAGAGTATTAGTTATGAAAATAAATATGGAAAGAAAGATAAAGCAAGAAAATGGCAACACATTAATTTCCTTGCTGTGTGCTAGTCTTTTCCAGGGGCATCCGGTATGGAAATGTGCTTCTCTTTGGTCCCCTGGGATTCTTGGTGTAATCAAATTGTCTTGTAAAATGTTAATATAACAATCTTGTCAGTTCACTTACATGGCAGGCGGCATGTAACCAAGATAGGCCGTGCGCATGCTTTTCATAGACTCTCTTCCTTTCCTTATTAAGTCTCTGCTTACATATTCTGCTACTTCAAGTTTAGTTTCTCTCCAACTCCACAAATGTCTTCAAGGTTCCCCACACACAAACGAAAAAGGGACTTTTCTGTTGCAATTGTTGTTATAGCTGCGACGTTAAAGAAAATTACTGAAAAGTTGCCACCAACGTTTCACCTTATGAGGAATTCATAGTCTATTTGCAGGGATCCTTCTCTAGCAAAGCAACAAGGAATGTTGAAGTTAACAAAACAATTTATTTAATATACCCATTCAGACATTTCTTAGAAGGATTCTACATGTTTCTCAATTGACGCAGGATTTCTTTTTGCCAAAGCCTGTTGCACAAGAAAGCAATATCTGAGAGGACAGTGTCTTATGCCAAGCTGACCATTGGTCTGTCCAGCCCCGTGTGCACCGAGTGGCAGCAACACTCCAGGTTTTTAGACTGGCATCTTTCCTAGAGCTACCTGGAGATTCCAGGAATTGAAATTAGGACCCACTACATGTGCTTTGTCATTGCAGCGAAGCCAGAAGCATTCGCACATGAACACACACCAGCTTCTATACTTGAAGGACACCAGTTAGATTTGATGCATTAATCCTGCCTGAATCCTTCACTGGTTGAACCCAAAGGCTCATCCATGTCTATCTGGCTGTATAAAACCCTAGCATCAGAACTTGCCCCTTGGTTTCAGAAGTTTGTCTCTATAAACTCAAGCTTATCTTCTCCTGTGCCACTGCTTTTGAAATGTGATTCCTTGCTTCCTTGTTTTAGCCTTAATTATTGATATTGGATCCTTGAAACTTGCATTGTCAACAAGAACACTTACCTGACTTGGTATCCATCACCTGTTTCTGTGTCTTTTGTCCTTTGTTTGCTGCCCTTGGAATTTGGACATACAACCAGCTTGGAATTCCATTGTTATCTCTTTGATCTTGGACTTCTCCCTCTGAAACTTGACTCATGTCTGTTCTGGATCAAGACATTCAACAGTAAGCCCTCAAATCGTAACGGGCCTTGACACATGACCACTTGAATATCTTTCTCTTATCCTAAGAAGGTCGACAGATTTTGCTTTTAGTAACATTCAGAGTCAATTTGGAGTCCCATTTTCAGATAAAACACCCAAGAAACATCAATTAAAGGCAATGGAGGCTTAATAGGACCAATGAAATATCTTGGAGGATTGTACTTACTTATACATTCCTACTGGTGTAATGAGGAGAATCAGGAATTGCTAGATGGAGATTTGGGGTGGGACTGTAACCAATATTTTGCACTTTTTTGCCCCTCTGGTATAGTGGTTAGAGTGCTGGACTTGGGAGACCTGGGTCCTAATCTTTCTTCAGTGACGAAGCTCACTTGTTGACCTTGAACCAGTCTCAGTTTCTTAGACTAACCTGTCTCACTGGAATAAACTGTTGGCTGGAATACTATCTAGTCCTGAAGCTTTGGCTTTGTGGGTATTTATGAAACGTTTGTATCTCTACCACATTTGTATGCAATGTGCATATGTACAAGGTACACCAGCTGCCACAAAACATGGGCGGCATGGCAATGCTATACCCATGCTCCACAGGTTTCCTCCGGCCTGTTGGTTGGCCACTGAGTGAAGAAGAACACTGGGGCCTTGGCCTTATTTGGCATGACTCTTCTGAATTGAATATTTAATTACATTTTTGATAAGGATTTACCCACCTTCTACCTTCTGGGCCAGAGGCAGAGTCAGGCACAATCTGGAGTCCATACATTAGCAAGTTTGTGGATCCCCCAAAATGTGTTCAACAGCATGCATATTATATCTGAAAAATGCACACAAATAAGCTTTCATCAATGAAAGAAGAATGTGTTGATTTCAAAACTGTGCATAATTGATACATACATTTGAAAAATATGCAAAAATACCTATCAATTTCATTTAGGAAAGCAAAACAGCAAAGCTTGCCATCTGACATGGACTAGAGAAGAAACAAGCTTTGAGATGGAATGCCAAAAACTACAGCAAGCTCAAGTGTTGCTAATTCATGCATCTCTCTGGCTTTAGCATACCATGCATGCTGCCTCTCCTTGAGAAAGAGTGACAATATTTTGTCACTGAGAAGGAAGAAAATAG